TTGCATATATCAATCCATTGCTGCCCTTTAATTCCTTGCCTCACTGCTTGTGATCGCATTGCTGGAACAACTATACGGCCACATAGTTGTCCGGTTGGGCTCCACTTCCAGTCTTCTCCAACAAGCCGGTCCCAATGGTTTTGGTCTTCACTTCCAACACAAAACTTGTCACTTGACTCATCAACTCCACTTTTTTGAACTCCATTTCCTGAACATGTATTAATATGGTCTTGATGGCATAAATTAAGCTCAATCCCCATCCCGATGCCTTGATTCGCAATCAATGAATTCTCGACCGACTTTGGCCTAACCTGGATCATATCATAAAGGCTATGAAAAGACGTTTTATAGTAAGATAGTTGTTTTTAATGCAATGATTAGTACAATGCCTCTTATTGAACACTCGTTTTAAAAAAAATTGACCATAACTTAAGATTTTCACCTAATTTTCATCTTATTAATGATCCACACAAATTTTAATACACATTGAATCCACATTTATCTTAGTGTTTCTCTACAATAGCTCAATCTCTCCAAAACTGTCACAGAATTGGTTTAATGATATATAATTTAATGGTTGTTTGGATTTAGCATCTAAGGTCCCCTATAATTTTATTTTCATATCAATACTTCACTATGCAAAACATAGATCTTATACGTAAAAATATCAAGTTCCACATGAACAAGCGTAAATCAACCCAACATGCAAATTTTTTCGACTTTATAATCTAACACTTTGTTCCAAACATACACCTCATAGTAGGCGAATTTATCTAACCCACACACGCACACAAAAGCAATATTAAAGCTGAAAATTATTTTTTTCACGCGAACTAGCACAAAAAATAGTAGAAATAGATAAAAACTCGATATTTTCATACCCTAAACTAATAACCGATATTGCCTTCAATGATTACAATGTAACAAGCAATATATAAAAACTAAGGGCAAAGAAGGGAAAGTACTCCACTAATATAAATTTGTAGGTGGGGGATAGATTGACATGAAAGTGTGAGATCACTTGCTATGTATTTTTCTTGTCTAGTTTCTTCAAGTGTCATGTTTTTTCAAAATAAAAAATCAATCATAACATGGAACAATTTACATTAATTTCAAACATAGCCTTAGGAAAATATGGGGATAAAGATATCCTATACTGCTAAAAGAAATAACAATTAATAAAACGCTAAAAGCAATAAAATTTACAAAACTAATTCATTAATTTACAAAATTAATGAAATTTACTAATCATATATTCTAGGAAGCAAAATAAATAAAAAAAGGATGAAAATTGGGATGCCTCCAAATAAGTGCTTATTTTATAATCGCTAGCTTGACTTTGGCAATCAGCATCATGGAATTTTGAAGAAAGCTTTTGATGCCTTGCTCAATTTGCTTCTTTTGAATTTGCTCTATTTTTCGTTGATTCTCTAAATATTAACATTGCTTCCTTAATATGATATGAATTCCCTATTCTACCTGATTCAAAATAAATTACGTAGACTTCTTCCTCCTCCTCATACATAATTACAAATTCAGTTGATGGGCAATCCTCATAGTGGAAAGAATGTGTGTTTATTTCATCTTCATTAATTGCAACTTCTTTTCTTGGTTAAATTTCAATAATTTTATCATCCTCTTTCTTTGTTTTTTCAAGGGGATTATATCCCCACCTTTAATATTAGCTCTAGTATATGACATCTCCTACATGCATTTTACATTCAATCAACTTGGCAAAATTCATTATAATATTTCGAAAGTACCTTCTTGTTCGACCTGGAAGGACCAACTCCCTCAAGTAAGTCTACAGATAATGCTCATCAACAGGCATGTAGCTTTCATTAGATTTGCCAAATACTTGTTTTTGACAACGTAAATATTGTTGAAATTGTAGAAGCTTGAACCTCAGGGGGTCTTGCGCGTATACCAGCAGTACCCAATATAATGCAACCCACAACAAAATTAAAAATATATATCTTCTATAAGTATATAGTCCTCGTCCATGCTATGATTATTTATTGCAAAGTTTTACTCTTCTGCTAACATCAAAATCTCACAAACGCTGTTGAATAATTGAAAGAATACCAGATACAAGAAAGATGAGGATGGGTAGTCAAAATTAACAAAAGAGTGTATAATCTAATAGGGAATAATTTTCAATACAAAGGTACTTGTTTTGTGAAGAATCTGAATTATATATCACAAAAGAGTTTTTGATATGATTTATGCTAAATTAATCTAATGGATGATTGTATTGGAATTCGAATTCACCTATTGCTATTTATTTCAATACTCAATTATGTAATTTATTAGTATTCACACATTCTTGACAATCGATAAAACTATGATATATAATTTTCTTTTGCAAGACTAGATAAATATTATAACCACGACTCGAATATATTTCAGCTCTAATTCGTATTATTAGAATGCATTAAATTTTAGATTATCTACATGATTGCGTACTTTATAAATATTCTTCCTAACATCTATTAAACATATATTTGTTTTGTTGCATTCTAAATATATTGTGAGTCTCTTAACACTACAACAAGCAACTAATTATCTAATTGGTGATCAAGTAATTAAATACTGCAATGAATATTCAAAATTAATCAAGAAATACTAAGCTACTAGTTTTGAATTAAAATATATAAGCACTTTGGATAATTTTCATCCAATATAATTAATTTAGCTTAATACGTTTATAATGATAAAACAATAAGAAGAATAGAAATGTATCACCTAGAATTTATAAATACAAGAAAGAGATCTCATGATCTAATTCTTGTTCTTGATTACCCAACTAGACAATTGATTCTTCCAGTTCTTGATGTTTCTTGATTTAATCCACATGGTAGATTTATTCTTCCCTTCAACGAATATTGAATTGGCCCCTCGTTTCTTGATGAATTTAATGATATGAATGGATTTGAGAATTGAGAGACAGATTGTAACTCTCATAGGTTCCCAGCTATATGGTAGCGATGCCAATAGGGTTAGTGCATAGACCTCATCATCAAATTTAATATTGACCAAGACCGACTGATTGATAAATTGTATTCAGTTTATAAAGACATTATACTAGTAGCGCACCTTCAACCATGTTTAAATTTTTTCATTAGATATACGTTGTTATATGTAGAAGACTTCTCATACTTATGGGACAATACCTTCATCAAATTCCATATAGTTTTCTTTACCACTATGTTGTGACCAACATTCTTTGACAGTGTCAATCACATAAAACCCAACACCAGACGATCAAGCAGTTTCCAATAATCATTTGCCATTCCTATGCACTTTTTATTTGAAAAAGGATGTTTGAATTTTTTACTAATATAATCCTCGATCTGCATCATCGAGAACGCAAAATACCATCAAACTTGTTGAACCCTTATGACGTTCCTTCTTCACCTATCATTGCTCTCATTCAAAATCAAAAGCTCTGATACCATTTGTTGAGAATTAAAAACCCTAACTCTATTACACAAAGAGAAAATAATTTAAAGAAAGAAAAATAAACAATCATGAATAAGCAAAATTTATAGAGGTTGGTTTCAATGTGAGACTTCGTAATCTTCCATTGCTGCATTAATTCAATATAATGAAAAGAGGTTTGCAAACAAAATATAAATCCTATCTCCTCTATCCTCTCTTTCTCTCTCTATTTGATGGTAATAAAAAAACTAAGGAGGGCTCCCTATCTATAAGATAAAATAGGGCAAAACTTAATTTTACAATGATTCATATTCCTTAATATAATTACACAAGAATTAGGCTCCTCAGTTTAATAATAATTAGGACTCCAATTCAAACATAAAATTTTAAATAACCCTTAATGACTTAGGCTTCACAACTTAACAATATGTAGTTTACAATTGTTAAGAACAGAATTGAGAAATTTTCAAATTGGCACAAATTGGTTTATAAATATCAAGTTGTGGTAGATGTATTGATTTTTCTTATGCAACATCAAATTTGTGGGAAGCTGTTAAAGTTTCTAAAATTTTCTCTTAATGGCATTCATAAAATCAATATTGCTTAGTTAGGTGTCAGTCATCGTTCTCCCAACAAGCACCTTCCACTACCCCTGCTCATACTTCTTTTCCGGTACAAATCACCTCCCTTTAATGGTGAGTCCTACCCACTGAAGCCATTTTATTCTTCCATAATGCATCTGGCACAATTGTATGATTGATATAAAAAATTGCTCCTCCAGCCAACTCCAAACCATGCAAGTTACTACTACAAGTTATTTATTTAACTCTGTGTCCAATATAGTATAAACTTTAGTAACTAAAAGATCGCTTGTTTTTGAAGGTTCCACAGACAATGCAATGGCGTTTGTTTTCATTTTTCGGCAAAAAATCATTGTTTTGGATTATTTTTCCCTTGAGCTCTTGGGCATTGTGGGTTGTTTCTTGCATTGCTGCAGTTTTTGAAACTTTATGATGAATAATGGTGGTGCTAAAGCGATATATTTAAATATATCATTATTTATGGATCTACAGATTTGGTCAGCTCTTGATATAATTGGCTTATCTTTTAAAAATATCAGTACTAGAAGGCCATTGTGTGGGTTGGCCACTAGGATTAGGGTAATCGTATGGGGGTAACAATTACCTATTGCTTTAGTTTAGGAATTGCTTGCCCTGATTTGTTACATGTTTGAAGTTCACTACAACAAAAATTGTCTTTTACAACGTTCAAAAAATGTTGCGAAAGGTCTTTTGCAGTGTTTTATCGTATGCTAGAAACCTTGACATTGCCGTAGAGTGGAAGATATGGCAATGTTTTTTTGCAACGTTTTTTTCGCGTTGTAAATAACCTTTTGGCAACTTTTTTTTCGTTGCAAATTACTTTTTGCAACGTTCAAATAAGTTTTTTTGAGCTTTATCTATGCTTTTATCTTTATTTTTTGCAACTTCTTTTGAACATTGCCGTAGGTCATTTTACATTTTTTTTAAAATTTTCATAACAGAAGATAACTATATCAAATAACTACAATAATTATTATTAATTGAACTCCAAATGTAACAATATTCGTACAAAATCTAGATCCAAAATTCTAAAACACCTAAAAATTCAATACATTTTCCAAAAAAAAAAAAAAAAAACTAAGTAGTGAGTAAAACCACCTCATCGGCCTCCCTAATTTTCTTCTCAGCAATATTTGACACGAGTTTGCCTTTAGTATAGATCCTGTCCTATGAAAAAAGAAGATAAAGATAGATACCATATTTTAGGCATTTGCCCCAATTATAATAGAGAAAAAAGCAAAGAAAAATAAGTATGTTGACGAAAAAGTTTTAATATCTTGACAGCTCAAACTTCAACTCCACCACAAAAACATTATCTAGATAAAAGGAGGTTGCTCAGAAGTATATCACACATCCATCTTGAGTCGACTAAACACCTATAGCTACCCTATCATTTATAACCCAATAGAAAGGCGTGAGACAAACTAAAATGCCAAGCAAGATAAAGATAACTGCTAACCTTGTGTGTAAAACCTTGCTATTAACATGGTATAATGAAACTTTGGCTGATCACTGCTTCAACTTTGGGATGTGTTCTGGAAGGGCAACTTGAAATTTATTTTTCTTTCTGTTCATAGATTTAAAGCCTAATGCCCTGGTCTAATGATGAAAATTCTTCTTCCAAGTTCCTCGACAAAAACTCCATTCTTGTATAACAACCTACACAAAAATCATTTGCAACTATTAACTAAAATAACAAAATCCCTTGGAGCATTTCAATCATTTTTACAAAACTTATATGCTTAACCTAATCATTCATCGATTTCTGGCTAATTTCTTCAATCCTATATTACTAGATTAATTTCCTGCTTCAGGTGCCAAACCGTAGCCTAAAAAATTAATCTACATTTCCTTTTCTTTTTTCTTTTTTTCTATATTTTCAGTTGATCTTATGGCCAAAAATTCAATATAAAATGACCTATACACAGTACACGTTATATTATGCCTTGGATAACAGTGAAAATTGATAAAACCAAAACTTTCTCTAGCTAATCATACAAAGAACTTCAAATCCTCCAGGTAAGTTGACATTAATCCAAATCTCAGCACATTTTAACAATGCATAGACTTAGATAATTTTGAAAATTTTAATTCAATGCATAGACTTAGATAATTTTGAACAATAGTGGAAATCTAAACAGCAAGTGCAAAGGTCATCAGAACCGCCAGTGCCGCCACAGAGTGCACAGCCGACTTACTCCCACAAGATAACATCTCCAAACTAATATGGATCACATTTACTGTTGACAGCATAGAAAACAGGCACCCCATCATAGAACCAATGACGGAGGCCAACATCCCAAACCTTAACACCTTCAAATTTATATGGGACCTAAAGATCTCATCCACATCCTTGCTATTCAACAAATTAATGGCCAATTAAGGCCTTGGGCCGCTAGAGAAGAAAATAGAAAGAAGCTGAAAGACACGACCTCGAAAATGGAGTTTCTCAGCCACGTCGATATGTTTTTGAGGCTGTGCTGACCGGGAGTCATCAATGAGAGACCCACAAAGACTGCTACAGTAAAGAGGGAATTAACATTTACCAGGCCATCTACGGCGGTGAGATGGATGCTGGTGGTGGTAGTTGATTCTCTTGGGTAAGATTTAGATCTGCACAAATCAAGAAAGAAAAATCCCATCAGAATCTTGAATTCATTTATGAATAACGTACAGATAGTGGTACTTATAGAGACATGATTAGGTGTTCTTGGGGTATGAAATATGTATTTCCAGCTTGAAATTTTGCTGATTCTTGGAGGGTTTAGGGTTGTGTGTGTTTGTGACTTTGTGAGTGGGAGAGAGAGCAAGAGAGATAAATATAAGGTTAGGGTTGTGAGTGTGACTTTCTGTTGTCTATTTTGGTTTTGTCCCTTTTTTCTTACTTCTAAATGGTGGGTTGGGTCGGTCAGTTCCAGTCAGTTTTCATGGGTCAACCCATGACTCAACTCGATCGAACCGCGGTGGTCACCCAAAAATTGAACCCAACTGTAAAATTAAAATTTTGGATCTTTTGGTATTCGTTTGGATGTGTTTTTCATGGTAATTGTCAATTAAAGCGATAGAATTTGTTATAATAGGGGATAGAATTTGTTTCAATTGCCAAAATAAATAAATAAATAAAACCTAAAAAACCTAAAACAACCGCTTATTGTGATCAAGACATGAAGGAGAAATTGTGGATTGAAGAAAGAGAGAAATTAGTTAATGTAATTGAGTTTTGGTAATATTTTTAAAATAAATGCTGCCAATGTTACTTTTCGCAACGTTTTTTGAATGTTGCAAAAAGTTTTATTTTTTGCAACGTTCAAAAAATGTTGCCATAAGCTAAACTTTTTGCAATGTTTTCTTCAAAACTCAATTACATTAACTAATTGCAACATTCACTTATTTAAATGTTGCAATAGACCCCTTTAGCAATACTTAACTAACGAATGTTGTCTTTTATGTGTTGCAAATGACCATTTTTTGTGTAGTGGTTGATAATTGATTCTCTGATTTAATTTCCAATTAAGTCACTATGTGAGACTTACATTGTGTGATAAATTAGTTTGTTGGCATATCTCTGTGTTGCATTGATTATTCCATTAAAACACCAAGACTTTACCCATTTGATCATTCTCTTGATTTGAGATCGTGAATCTCACGAAACCGCGTAAATCTAAAACAATGTATATTGTGACGATTGGACTAGTTTTTGTGCTCTAATTGTGTATTTATATATTTTTGGTTAATCTATATCCAAAATGACTATATATTTTGGTTAGAGGATTTTCATTGGAAAATGAGCATTTTCAATTTGGCAACAAAATTTGAGAAATTTTGGCTCAATAAAAAGTTTCGAAAGTCAGAGATGGCAAATTTTTTGCTGATTTGTCAAAAGAATAAAAAGAAGAATCTAAAAAACTTACTTACACTTCAATTATTTTACATTTGTCAAGTGTTGTTTTAATAAAAGTTGGTAAACTTAAAACTATGAAAGACTTTGGAAAAAGTTGGAAAACTTATATTTGCTCAAGTGTACTCCTAACAAACTTTACTTACTTGAGAGGTTTTTTTTTTTTCTTAGTTTTAAAATGGATCCTCCAATGGATCTAGATGATATTTGGATGTTTTTAGCAAATTTGTATAAGATTATTAACTGTAATGAAAAAGTCTCTAAAGCCTGTAAGGCCATTATTTTGCTCAATTCTATGCTTACTACCTATAAGGAGGTTAAGAATGCTATTAATTATGGTAGGGAGATGTTAATACCTAAGATTGTCATAGATTTCTTTAGAAGTAAGGAAATAAAGATTAAGACTGAGAAATAGGATAAGAAGAGTAGTATGTTACACATGATGAGAAGTATACACTTTAAGCAAAACAATCATATAAGGGCTCAATACAATAGTAACTTGAGTAGCAACTTGAGTGATGAGGATGGTAGAAAGAAGGGCACAAGTTAGAACAAGTCTAAGTCTTGTACAAATGGCAGACGTTATTATATCTATTGTACCATTGTACATATTATAAAGAAACGAACTAAGAAGAAAGGCAAGCAAAAATATAAGAAGCGAGATGAGGCAAATGTTGCTATTAGGTCCAGGTATGAATGAGTAATGTTTATTGATAGTAAACCTAATTACTATATTTGTATCTGTGTGAAATCCCATTCTTATGAACCATTGCTTGATTCGCAGCATCATTTTATGTTATATTTCAATATGATTGATATGTGTTTTTGCATGAATTTGAGGGTGATCTTATTACCGTGTATAATGTGTTAGCATGCATAGTGGTTGGGATGCATTAAAGTAAGTGTCTTTTGGTAATATGGTGTATAGATGTCTAAGGGTGCACCTATGATATGTATGTACGAGAGTATGGAGAATGACACTTGAATCACAAGAAGTGAGGTGATTAAATGATTGAAATCTTGTATCTATTAGAATCTTGAACGATGGAGTGAGAGGGTGACACTCTTATCACTTCTATTAGGTGGATATCCATTATTCACTTAGGTTGAGAAAGGTGATATAGTGATAGAGATAGGATCTATTGTGGTTTACCAATTAGGCATGAGGAATGACCAGTCTAGTGAACAAGGTTAGTAATAAGATACGTATTCTCGAGATATGAGCTACATGGTTAGTAATAAAATTGAAGTTGGCATATAAGAACTCGCTAAAAATAACTCTTTTGAGGTTATATATGATGCTTACATATTTCGAAAGCTTATTTATTGGGATGAAAGTTTCAAAAGAAAGCTATTGAATCTTAATATGTGACCATTGTTATAGTGAAAAGAAAAAGGGAGGTGAAGATTTCGAGTAATATGAAAGGTCGTATCTTGAACTTTCAATTGGGAAATAATTGAATTTTTCTATGATGGGGTAAAATGAAAAGTTGAGAATATCATATATTGCTCCTTGAGGTGTTATTTAAAACTTGGGCCTAATTGTTTTATGGTGGAGTTGCAACGGTCATTTGGTATTAAAGAAAGTATTGTCTATTTCTAAGGCTTAGTAAATAGATATTAGATTTAACTTGTGCTTTGAGGTTATCGGTGAAATTATAAAGATCTCAGCTCGGAAAAGCCAAATAAGATGCAAGATATGAAAGAATGAATTGTGTCTAGTTAAAGTTATTACAGAAAGTCATTCATTGGGTATGCTTTGTACATTTGGGTATTCAAATCTTAGTTGATTGAATTTCGAGGACGAAATTCTTTGAAGGTGGTAAGATTGTTACACCTCACTCAATTACAGTCAAAGTCAATGAATTATATAGTTAAAGTTAAAGCCAAATAAGGATTTAAGTTGAAGGAATGATTTTCATGGGGTTTAAATTTGAAATTGCTAGTACTTAAGAGGACCTGAAATGATATAAAAATAAATTTTGGGATTTAGCTTCTAGTATGATAAATAAGATGACTAAATGTTAAATTATATGAAGGTTGGGGACTTGTATTGTAATTATAGTTATGGGGTGAAATATGAAATACCTTAATTTAATATTTAAAAAAAAAAAAGAAAAAAGAAACTGTAGGCAGTTATGCCCAAAACAAATCCATTCCCATTACATTAATATATATGTGTAATCCAATACCAAAGACACACACAAAACACGTACAGAGAGAGAAAGTGAACCAAAGAGAAAAGGAAGAGAAAAGAGAAAGGAAAAAGATAAAAAAAGGGGGGGAAGAAGAAGAAGAAGAAGAAATTTTTTTGCCAACATGTTAGGAATTAAGTGGTCTACATTATTAGGATTGAATTCCTCAATTTTGAAAGGTAAGTAAAAAGTTACTTATTATCAAGTCATGTTTGATTTTATAGTTGTTAGATTGTTAGATTAAATTTAATTTTATTTAAGGGGTTAAGTGTAATAAACTATGAAATTGAGTAAGATAAAGAAAAACTAGTTTTAGTTATTAAAGAGACTGTAGAAATAGCCCAAACGTGAAATGATTAAGTTTGGGTATCGCCTATTTAATTATTGAAATTATTTAAAATAATTAATTATTTATTTAAAAATTATATTATATTTCAGGCGGAGATACAGATATCGGGATAGCGTACCAATCTAGTTGATTTTGGCATACATAGTTCTATGAGTGAAAAAATATAAATATTTTTTAAAATATTTATAAATTAAGTATATTGTCAAAGTATGTGCAATTATGTGTTCGAATTATATAGTTATTATGGAAATCTCTTTTATTATGATACATGTGGAATATCAAAGATTATTTATGGCATATTTGTGACTTGCTATATAAGACATGTGATATTGAGATTTGTTTGGTATGTGAGACATGTAATATTGAGATCGGCCAGAAAAGTACCAATGATTATATACTTCTTCTAGTTCACAAAGGGCCCTTGGCCGTGTTCTATCTTACACGGAGGGTCTTGACCTGACATTGGTCTTGATCGTGTACATATAGTTTACAGAGGGGCCTTGACCATATTCTAGAATTGACTTACAGAGGTCTTTGGGACCGGCTTTTGTTCACGGCGGGGGCCAAAGGCCCATGGCGAAAGTTCTTAGCCCGAAAGGCAGATTACATATTTCAGTCAAAGGCTACATTTTTTGTGGATTTTTCAGCACGTTTGATGTGATGAGATTATAGCATGGTTATCAGTTGATATTTATATCATGATTTTGAGATGATATTTTACGACCTTATGTGAATATTTCACTTTTGGTTATAATTACATGATGTTATCTTGTGAACTATTAAATGATATGAACTCGATTTTCGATAGAAATGTAAAATTGAAAAAGTACAATTATTTTCAAACTTCTCCACTCAAAGCTATCAACTCATATATTTTCTCACGATTTTTCCTACATGTAGCAATTGATTCTTTTTAGTTGGAAGAGCCTAGTGATTTCGGAATGAGAGCCACACGACATGTTGAATATTATAACTCATATTGATGAAACACGAAGTAAATATTTTGGGTCCATCGCATTATATTTTATATAAGCATTTGATTTTGTTGCATTTTTTTGAAATAACTCATAGTCAGCCTTAGTGATAAATTTGACATCTAGTCGGCATCTATCATGGGTGCACGACACGTTTCGGGTCCACTACGATTATTTGGGACAGGTCGTGTCAAATGTGTTAGGGAAATACATGTGACAGAAAATGTCATGTGATATGACAAAACCAAACTTGTTCATTTACCGTGAAACTATAATCCCTTTGTCAATATGATTCGATCCATTATGAAATATGGAAATGTGTCAATCTTGATTATCGATCATATCTTTCACTTCACTATTAAGTCAATATAGGCTGAAAACTCATTTTCGACTTATGAATACAC